CAAATATTGAACTAATATTGGCAAAATCTAAGAAAGCTGTAGTATTGTATCATAGTCGCACATAGATGTCCCCATACATCCATGTGTGGGCGGAATATTACTCTTAAACAAATACATTTTGAGAAAATCCATTTATGGCATGTTATACATGACATTTGAGGGCAGATTTCTGAACTATTGGCAATTGTATAGGGTGACTCATTTTTGACCTACATATCAAAGCTGTGATTTTTTAAATGGAATGCCTCAAATTTTATTGCATATTTGGATAAACCAATTCGAAAGAAGAAGATTGATATACGTACTATGGGGTTCTGGTAATTAGCTACCGAGATATAAGGTATTCTCTCCAGAAAAACCGTCCACTTCGGCAACCCCTCAATGCGCCATTTTGAAATTTGGATTGCTGAATTCTGTATCAATAAAACCTACGCACCTCAGCTTTTATCTTATTTGTTACTTTTTCGTATTTTCATTTTTGCTCATACAGGGTGATTAAAAACCCGAATTGTACTTTTTCTCAAAAATTTCAAATGCATCACCCTGTATATTTGTACAGGTTTGGATTCAATTTTTTATAAGCTTTTTTTGGTATAAGTTTTGATTCAGTTAAAATCACGAGATCTTGAGTTATTAAGCTTTTAATAGAACAACACACACACACAGGAAAAAATCACATCATCCATGGAAACAAAAGACAAACAGTGGGTCAGTTCCATATTGCCTCTAAAACTACAGATATGACATACAAACTAATAACAATTAGAACTTTTTAAATCAGCTACAAGCGTAATAGAGAAAAACAACTATAACAACAACATAAACAAACAACTATCACTACTCAAGACTTAATCTACAAAAACTGCTCGAAAATATCTCAACCATGTTGAATACACAGACGCAGTCTTTGTATAAATGACCATTGCACATCTCTCAGCATGTGTTCCCTTTCATGTTCAGAAAAGCATCCTTAATCCCTTCCATCATATTTTCCGGGGTAGATGGTGGATATCTATAAACCTCTTGCTTAAGGTAGCTCCATAGAAAGAAGTCCATCGGTGCCATATTTGGTGATCTAGGAGGCCAAAATATAGGCCAAGATATAGGCCCATCACGACCGATCCAACGATTGTTACTCCAGGGATCCAAATAGTTACTCACGATTATGATAATGCGCAGGTGCGCCGTCATGTTGGAAGTACTTATGCATATGAGTTTGCAGGTTGACATCCTCCAAGAGCAAAGGCAAATGCTCGATCAAAAAATCCAAGTATTCTGTACCTGTTAATCTGTTGTCGAAAAAGAAGGGTCCGAAAGTAGTGTCTTCACTCACTTTATTTAGCATTATTCTACTAAACTCCATTCGAGCTGCGAAATCCTGAGGACGCAGGCCGTGATGCAAGCATAGGTGTTATGGATGGTACCTATGCTTGTTATTTATCCTTTGGACAGAAGTTCTGCATATATCAGTTTCTGCTTCAATTTGCCGTGCACTTAAATGAAGATTTTCCTACAACTTTGATAGGGCCTCCAACTGATTCGCCCGATTGGTGACACTTAGATTATTTATATATTTTTTACTATATTCCACTACTCCACTTGACTCAACACGTTCTCCTAGTGTGGAAAGTGTTTCCTGCCTTGGTTGTCGTATATTAGGTTACCGTTGCTTATAAATGCGAGATGCTAGGAAACTATTTCTTTGGGCTTCGCCCAAAACGAACACCATATTCACTATTTCTTCTTTAGAAAAAATCATTTTCAAACACGTTTATATTATAATGCTCACAAAGCTAATTTTGACAGTTTGTAACTAATCAACAATTTATTTGTTTCCAAGGATGATGCGATATTTTAGGGATTTAAGCCGTTCCATAAAAGACGTGCTAATAACCGAAAAAAATAGCCGTAAAAACTACTGTCTAGTATCAAAAAAAAGCTTATACAAAATTGAATCCAAACTTGCATAAATATACAGGGTGATGCATTTGAAATTTTCGAGAAAAACTACAATTTGCGGTTTTGACCACCCTGTATGAGCAAAAATTGAAATTCGAAAAAGTAACAAATATGATAAAAGCTGAGGTGTGTAAGTTTTTTTATACAAAATTCAGCACCCAAAATTTCAAAATCACGGACTGAGGGGATGCCGAAGTAGGGTGTTTTTCTAGACAAAACACCTTATATCTCAGTAGCTAATTACCAAAACCCCATAGTATGTATGTATATCAATTTTCTTCTTTTGAATTGGTTTATCCAAATATGCAACAAAATTTCATTCCATTTGAAAAATCACAACTTTGATATGTAAGACGAAATTGGGACACCCTGTATGATGGCCAATATTTTATAAATGTGCCACCAAATGTCATGTATAATATATTATTAATAGATTTTCCCAAAATGTATTTGTTTATAAGTAATATACATGGATGGGCCACCCTGTATACGTAGTCATGCCATAAGTTCTGTCCCTCGTTTTCAAACAAGTGTAGACCTGTTAATACTTGTCCGATTGTTTACATTGTGGTGTCAGTTGATTAAGCGCTTTTCGGGTAATTACATATACCTCAGTTTGTATTGATCTCTCGAAGCATAACGATGGAGTGGGGCAAGGCAGAGAACCGTATTGCAGTGATAGCTTTACATAAGTGTAATCACAGTGCTAGTCAGATTTTTGAACTCTTACGCGGCCTTCAAATATCGCGTAAATTTGTGTCTAGGACCATTCAGCGGTACAATGAGACGTCCTCTGTTGATGACAGGCCAAGAAGCGGAAGACCTCGTCAAGTAAGGACTCCAGCAGCCATCAAAGTCGTAAAAGCCAGGATTCAAAAGAATCCACTCCGGAAGCAGAAGATCCTATCCAGGGAAATGAAGATTCCTGTCCGGACGATGTCGCGCATCATTAAACAAGACCTAGGGCTAGGGGCTTACCGGAGACGTACGGGCCAGCGACTTACGGCCACCTTGCGACACATCAGGGCGACAAGATCCAAGAAGCTCTTGGGGAGGTACGCAGCTGGGGGATTCCGAAAGATTTTGTTCACGGATGAGAAAATCTTCACCATAGAAGAAAAATTCAACCGACAAAATGACAAAGTGTATGCAAGGAGTTCACAGGAAGCTTCGGAGATCATTCCGAGAGTTGAGAGAGGCCACCACCCTGCGTCAGTCATGGTTTGGTGGGGGGTGTCCTACGAAGGGGTCACTCACCTCCATTTCTGTAAACAGGGCGTGAAAACAAAAGCGGCAAACTATCAGAGCGACATACTGGATCCTATCGTCAAGCCTTTAAGTGGTACATTGTTTGCCAACCAACACTGGGTCTACCAGCAGGATTCCGCCCCCGCTCACAAGGCTAAGAGTACGCAGCGCTGGCTGGAAAGCAATGTGCCAGAGTTCATTGCTGCGGAAGATTGGCCCTCAGGGAGTCCGGACCTCAATCCTTTAGACTACAAGTTGTGGGACCTGCTAGAGCAGTTGGCCTGCTCCAAAGCCCACCGTAATATCGAGTCCCTGAAAGCGGATTTGATCCGATCAGCGGCAGCTATTCCTTTGGAAGCTGTGCGTGCAGTGATAGATGAGTGGCCCGCGAGATTGAAGCAGTGTGTGAAGGCCAAGGGGGGACATTTTGAATAAAACTGTTTGATTATGAATTCTAAAAATGTTGTCGAATAAATAACATCTTTCATATAAATATATCTCATCTTGTTTCATTTTCATCATGAGATTATCATGGGACAGAACTTATGGCACGACTACGTATATATTGCTTAGGTTATAATTACTTTATAAAATGTGTCGTACCACCTCGAGCGATAAAACCACTTGGACCCTTATGTGTCTTAGCTAGTGGTTAACAAATGAAAAGCTAATTCAGTATTTTTTTGTATCAGCTAGTGAAAAATATGCTTTTTTTTGTTTCTATTCGAGCTTACAGTTTTATTGTTCTTTTATTTGTTATAGGATGAATGAAATATTTTGTTGAATAAGTACTGTTTTCTCTGTAACTTCTCACAAGGTCTTTCCGATGTTTATTTATAATCTATTCGTATTTATATTACAAAAGTAACAAGTAATATCAAAACTACTTGAATTTTCAAATAGTTGACGTAATAACTATATACTTGTACATTGCTAGTATCTAATACTCAACTTGAGCTTGACTTGATTTCAATTCAAGTTAAGTCAAGTAGTTTGAAAATCAAGTCAAATAGTGAATCCTTACTAATTGGCAATATCGCAAGGCAGTAGTAGAGTTACTCTAGTTTGACGCGACAGCAAAGCGGCAACACGGTCGTCGCACAGAACTAATCACTCTTTGATTGCCTCTGCCGCCTTTTTTGTTTTCTGCTTCCGGCTGTTCTTTTGAACCGACGCTGATGTCGCGTCGGCGTCGCCCGGCGTCCCGCGTCACCGTCGGTTTGTGTTTCCCGGCAATTTTGCCTCTTTTTTTTCCGCTGCTGGAAGAGCGGAAGCAACGGAGACAATTAGGCGGTTTTTGCCGGATGATTTCTTAATTGCAAATGCCTCCCGGGACTTCCGGAGGTTGACGATTAATTGATGTCTCCGTCTCTCAATTTGTGTTGTACAGACTCTTTGGAGACAGTGCAGCTATGCAGATGGCAGGTTATTAAAAAGAGCGCCTTTGTGAATTTTGGATTGAAAGTAACTTGTTGAACAGTCGTCCTGATTGAATGGATTTTGTTAAATAGTAAGGTGATCCGATCGAATTTGAACCTTTGTTTCATCACTGAGAGCCGGCTTATCAATATATAGGTATGAGGTAGATAAAGAGCTACAACTTATAGTTAACTCGAGTTTGCTAGGCATTGATAAATTGACCCTCAAGTGAACTTCATATCTTGATCTAATTACTCCAAAAACCTGATACAAAGGATTTAGAAATAGTGAATCTAAAAAACTTTATTTTTTGTATTATTTAAATGATCGATCTAGAATACGTGAATCAAGAACTTTGTCTTTTTTTGTTGCAGGGCCAACCAGTAAGCCAAAACATGTCTTCTGGCGTGATAATCAGCACCCATAGCTTAGTTCTCCAAAAAGTAGCTAGATGGCAAAGTGGATCTTACACATGTCTAGCAGCAAACGCTAGGGGAGAAACTTCCAGTGCACCAGTGTACCTCAGAGTTAGATGTAAGTTCCTTCATCTTGATTTAAAAAATCTATACATTGACTGGTTCAAAACAGGTTTCTAGTAGAGAATTTTTCTATTCTTCCTCTTAAAGAATAATATGAGAAACCGTCAGGATAGTAATAATAACTGTCAAGTTATCTGCAGTTTTTATGCTGATAATTCTGCATGTTTTTGAGTTAATCAAACCATACATCGTCACGTAGGTTCTAACACCGCCTAACTCAGAACACCGACGTGGTGATTGTGCACATAACGGATTTGGGTTTTATTGCATGCCCAACGTGACAGTGTAATATGTGATTCTGTAAAAAATAAATCCTGGGTGGAGCATTTTTTATATGGAAATTTGTTTACCCAAAATGTAATTTTCTAGCAATACGCAATACCTTGGCAAGAAATAACAGCACAAAACGAAAGACGTTGAAGAATAGACCACATCACACATAACACCGATTGTCAATCACAGTACACAGGATGAAGCAATGGTAACAATTTTCTACAGCGCGTCGTTGTGACATTTTCCCACATTATTATGCATACATGTGCGTAAAAATCGTTTTTGAAAGCTTTATAATCACTTTATAGTTGACTGTGATCTGAAATATATATATATATATATATATATGTCAATCATACACGCTAAAGCTAAAAAGTTTTAGTATAATGAGAATTAATAAATTGAAAATAAATATGAAAAATATTGAAAATAAGTGAATAAATAAACTGAAATAGTATCTTTTAAAAATAATAGGCAAAAACAATAAATAGATATTTATGAAATAAAAATATAATTATCTGAAACTAGCAAAAAATTAGGCAAAGAAATAAACTGCGTAAACAATAAATAGACAAAAACCAAATCGATGGATATCGGTCGAGATTGCGAATGTTCCTCCTCACACTTCACGATCACAGTGCTGGTGTTTTGAAATGGACTGTGGACGTTTCGGCCAGCACTGAAGAGGTAGCTGAGACTAACTCAAAAATATTTTCTATATGGTGAAATTTCGTTTGTTTTTTGCGCTTCTATACAGTATATTGTGTCAAGAACTGTGAATGGGTTTTCGCGTTATTTGAGTCGTTTGGCGTGATGGGGGAGAATTACTTGTCTGGTACATTCAAAACAACAGATAACCTCATGCTCGCTTGTCGCTTTGAAGCGACTCTTTTGGGAGCGAGAATGAAATTGGCATTGCTATTTTTGATTTTTGGGTACGAAGATGCCAACAGTCAATTCTAAATATGTGGTTTCATTTAGCGGACACAAATCTTCGTCATTGTACTATATATGTCGGAGCGATCTATAGGACATTTGAGGAGTGACTATGCAAAAGTCGATAAATCCTCTTGTTTTGAGAAATCAGTTAAAAACCAGCATTGAGAAAAATATTAAAGCTGTCTCAGATATTTATTTATTCTGTATTTTATTGGATTCTTTTGATTATTTTCTGACATTATAATAACAGTATCATTGAAAAGTTATTTTTTATATTTATATTTGAAATTTGGATTTATCGACTTTTGTTCAACAGGAATTGGATTTATCGAGTGTTGCCCAAAATATTCTACTAATTATAATTTATTTTTCAGTTAAACATTATTTAAGGGGTTTAAGTTAAATAAAAACTGTTTTCGACATTAAAACAAGTTTATAGAACGGCAAATACAAAAATAAGAACAAAAATTCTAAATATGAAGTCCGATGTCTTCTTCTAAGCAATCGCACACCTCTTCTTGCTCCTCTTCTTCCAGTACTGTTTCGTTCTGAGATAATAGTATATCCTTTTACCAACTTAGGTCTTCATCATTTTCCCATCCCTCTCCAAATTCCTGCGTAGCAAATTTCTTAAAGATTTTTTCTTTTTTTCTTTAATGGAACGACCAAGTTCAATAGAATCCAATTTTAGCTGTGACTCCTTTCCTTTTTTTTAGTAAATTTTTTGGCACTTCAGAAGTACATTCGTATCTAAAATTTTGGAAGCATGTCACAGAAATAGTACTTGACGGATTTTTACTCAGAACTATCCTTTTCATATCAGAAATAGAGTCAACTTTCTTTAAAAAAATTCCCAATTTTTTCACATCATACAGTAGCCAATCTGTTCCAAGGATTTCTTCAGATCCAAACTCAGAATATAGTTGTTCATATCCTTCCTTCTTCTTAATAGTAGGGTGTTTCCTCAGTTCTTTCTCTACCCTTCCAAATACTCTGTCTGCTGGCAAAAAACTATGCCCTCTCATAGGAAATTTCAGGCGAATTTCTATCAATTCTCTGAGCGAATGATGTCTTAGCCAATAGTATAACGTGTGTACCACATGGCAATTTTTATTTTGACCTCCGCAGCCATCGCAAAAAAGCCTAAGAACTCTTATATGATTTAAATTTCGACTATTCAGGTGTGCAAAAAGAGCAGATGAAGCTTCTGTTGAGCCTCTGCCAGCCAAGTCTTCAGTCCAGGTATAAAACGTTGGACTTTTAGATTGTAAATCAACACAGCTGAGAACATATAAACTTATTTGTTGAGCGTAAAAGGCGTCGTTGATAGGGGTTCGTGGCAAGGGTTGAACTTGCTGCATATCAAAACAAAACGATAAGGACTCTGGTACGTCTTGTCTCATCAATTCATAGAAAGTGTTGGCCCGTTTTTTGTGACCGCGTAGTTCTATCATTAGATCGCTTTTTTTCTTGACATCCTTCTCTATTTTGATGTTGTGCTTTAGTCTATTACAAAGTGCACAAGAGTCTGATGCTGGCGAAGAAAATCCAATATTAAATTTGGTTCTAAAAATAAGTCCAAACATGGTCTGACTGCAACGATCTCCTGGCTCAATATATATCTTATGCAACTTATTTACGCTAAGATGCGCTCGCAGGTAAATCGTTTTGGATTTTGCACGATTATAATGACTTTCGCGACCTTTCAGGTTAGCAATAAATTCTATAATTTTTTCTTTTTTATTCTGTGTTTTATGCAAAATTCTATCGCCCCCCAACTTCTCCGTTATTAATTTTCTTGCAGAGGCAGTTAATGCGATCCTTTGTAACTCCTAGTGCCTTTGAGAAGAAACTCAAACATACTCTGATAGGGCGTTTGGACTGTACTGATTTTAAGTAGTACATGGTACTAAACTTACGATTTTTTGGGACTGCCTTCAAACTACGTTTCCTCTCAACCGGTTCAAGGGTTATTTTATAGCTTATTTTAATATCCTGTTCCGATTTATCCGTTGTTGCATAGAGGTGTTTTCTAATTTATTTTATCATTCAACTTCACTTTGATGCATCCAAAAGTTTTGCCATTGTGATTGCACGGCCTATTAAAGTTCTTTAAATCAGGGTACCTGGAAAGATAATAAAATATTATTTTCATTACAAATTTACCTCAAACTGCAGATTATCAGGTTGGTCTAAAAAAAATTTAACAATGTATCATTTTCTTACCTTCTTTGTTTTTCTACGTGCCTTTTAGATATCTTAGTTTTTTTGACTCTTGATCCACTATTTCCCGCTTTTACAGTAATATCAACCTCTAAATCACTCATATCGGCTGCACAGTAGAACATCAAGTAACGAGAACGGCAGTGAACTGACAGAATGATGCAATATAATATCTACAGTATATTCAGATAAGAGATAGACCGAACATAAACAAGACCACGTGATCATCGAACGCTGTAACATTCGGCAGGGACGTATTAAGAGTCACGCAGTACATATTTTAGATAGTAGATGCTGCTTTGCGTAACTTTGTAGTAAATTAGCACAATTCGATGTGTATACGATTGGTGATGGATATAGGATCATGTGAGGGTGGGGTAAGAAATATATAATGATGTAAATATACATAAGGGTTTCAAAATTTTCGCTTCGATTTCCAGCTTCGGATGCCGCCTGATGTTTGGTGAAATACAGTCGAATACAATCTCAAAATGGCGTTTAAATTAGCCTAAATTAAAAATAATCGTGTATCTCTTAAAATTGCTTTTAGAATATTGATTAGTATATTTTTTGATTTCTAGGTAAATATGTAACCAAATTAAAACGTTCAAAACGTAAAAAAATGTGCATGGTTGAACATTGTCAGAAAGTAGATTCTTGAATAGGTTTTGCCAAAATGGGTTCAAAAATGTCAATAATTAATTAAAAAATACAGTAGCTTTATAATTACTTATAACTTACCGAATTTGATGAACGACATCTTTTATTGGAAAGATGAGCTTGATGAGCTTTCATCATCGCTACTGCCTGAAGCACCAACGTCAATAATGAATGGCTCGACTTGTTCCTCTAAAATATTGTCCAGTTCCCACATTCTCTTTTCAACTTTGTCTTTCACGTGCTTAATACAGTTTTCCCATTTTTGCGCTGTTATTAATTCTAGTGCTTCTTTGAAAAGTCCTTTGAGGTCACAAACTTTAAAAGTTGTATTGTGCTTAGCTATATAATTTTTAACCTCTGCCCATATGAGCTCAATGGGATCGAGCTCGCAATGGTATGGAGGTAAACGGAGCACAGTTTTATTTTGACTTGCTGCCATTTCGTCAATGGCGTATTTTTGATATTCCGCCTTGTGATCCTTGACAATTCTTAATAATTGTACTTTCAGCATTGCTTCTTCAAAGTTGATATTTTTCGAGCGGAGCCAATTTTGAACATCAACTTTCCTTGAAGCCGTTGTTGGGACCTTCTCCATTCTTCGAGAATGATAAGGCGCATTATCCAACACAATTACTGCGTTTTCCTCTAAGTTCGGTAAAATTTTTGAAAACCACTGTTCAAACGATTCGCCATTCATTTCCTCGTGGTAATCTCCAGTTTTCTTAGACTCAAAGCACCACAGACCGTCAACAACAAATCCATCCTCACTGCCAATATGGCAGATAATGAGCCTTTTCCCTTTACCTGGAAATCGAAGTACTAACTGGTGTAGATTTATTTCAATAAGCGAAACTTTTTCAAATGTTTTCATCACATTCAGCGAAAAAACATTGAGACATGAGTATCAGATTGCTATAATTGGGATTATCTAGTCATATTGAAAGAAAGAATATTGAACGTCGTATGATTACTCAGCGCTTCACAATTTAATTTAAAGTTATAAACCTTTAAAAAATTAATGATCAGGAACCTGAAATACGCGCAAATATTAATATTAACAAATTATAACTTTATAAAGCTTAAAGTATGAATTAAAATGATTAGAAATATTAGGAACGGTACACAATATAAAACTTTTTTTAAGTTTATAATATTCGACATATTTTAAGATTATATTAACAAATTATTGAAATATCGAAAACACATAAAAACATGGCTTAAAAAAGTTCTAACAAATGAAAATGACAATAAAACATCCACGCATTTTATCGAAAGTTATAAAAGTGTTACTTGTAATATGTTTTATCTGCCCCCTGGAATTAATGTTTAGAACCTAGAACATCCGATTGTTGTCTATTACTCGTACTTACCTGCTGGATTTTTTAATCCGGTGGACAGTCCATCTAGAAAGGCCCTCCTGGATGAAGTAACAGAATCATCAACCCATACTTTACTTGTAGTGTGTCCTGCGTTTACCCACGTTTCATCAAGGTAATAAATCTTCCTGTTTTGATTTCTATATTTCCCAATTTTTGTTAAATAATCCCTCCTCCATAGCACAACTTCTTCTCTATCAAGTAGCAAACTATTACGACCCCGTTTTTTCCATTTTAAATTTAAATGCTTCAGTAACGCATGGAAAGTTGATCTTTTGAAATTTGGCAATGTTGTATCTCCATTTACCTCCTGCAGTACTTTATCTATAGTAGGTATTTCATTCCTAAAGAAGAATTCATGCACTTTCCTCCTAATCGCATGCTTATCAGCTTCATCCAATGATTTAACAATACTTTTGCGATGTTTACTGGTCATTGGCTCAGAAAAGGTGTGATTTTTTTTGTATTGTCTTAACACATTAAACACTGATGCGCGACACACCCCAACTTTGTGAGAAACCTTCACAACAATTTCTTTGATGGTTGATGCCTCGTTCTCCTTGCGCTCGATCTTATATATATATTCAAAATGACCTCTTTCATTTCTGCACTCAGGTGTATTTTTTTAGAGCGTTTCCTAGGTGGACTACAGGAGTTTACAACTTCATCGGCAGTATCTGTACTACTGGGCATTTTGCGCAAGCAGTTGATAACAATAACAATCAATAACAAGGTATAACAATAACAACGACAAACTCAACAACTTAATAAGATAACAAACGAAAACGTCCAAAGAAATATCAAATTGCAATGATGCACACGACATTACGTAACACGTCTGAACCTGAATGTGACTCTGCCTTGATACGACTGCTCTGCCGCTCGGCATAGGCATTTAATTGCGAATTGACCAATGAGGGCTCCTGTTTTACGTCGAGACGGCGGCGTTAGCGTGAAAATCACCCGAATCTTTTGTTTACATCCGGTCTATCTCTTATCTGAATATACTGTAATTATTATTAACGACTTATGGTGACATCTCTTAATGGCAAACCAAATTTCAGAACTTTAAAAAGCAGTTTTTTATAATCGGGTTAATCGGACTTGCTTTAGCCGTAAAATGGAAATATCGACTTTTGCTCAATCTGGATTTGGATTTACTGGATTTTGCATAGTCAATGGATTTAAGGTTATGAATTTCAATTGGATTTATCGCACTTTGTTGTGTTTTGGTGTTTTCAAACGATGAGGAACTTTTTTCTAAAGAGATATCAAGGGTCAACTCAAAATTATTGAAAAATGGATTTATCGACTTTTGCACAGTCACTCCTCATTTGCTCTTTGTTAAAGTTTTGTAGGTCAGTAGGTCTGTCAGGGATACTCGGAGAAGTCAGAGAAAAAGAATGGAAGATGAAGGAAAGGAAGTAGAGGAAAGAGGATATAGTAGGTCAGTTGGAAGGATGCTCTAACACAGAGTTCCCCAAACTTTTTTGTACCGTAGACCCCTTGCGATGTTTTTCCGTGTTGGGTAGACCCCCTACTTACCTGATATTGATTTCCTGTAAATTTCTAACTGTAGTGAAGTTTAGTGTTAAAAACTTAAAGTAAAAACACATGTTAATTTATACATTTATTAATTGATTTTAAATTAAAACTACTCAAAATAAAATTTTGTATCTGTTATGTAAAATATACGTAACATTAAATAAACAGGTGTCTGACCAATAAGTGCCCGCATTGGGAATAAGTGCCCGCATTGAACAAAAAAATAAGAGGGATGAAATAAAAAAAAGTGAAAAATAATAAAAAAACTGTTTTACTTAAAATAGTACAATAAGCGAGTTCGTTTATTAATTATAACATAAACGTATGTTCTACAATAATTTAACTGTTAGTTTGATTAAATTCCGCTTCTTATACGTTTAAGTTATCTAAAAATAGGCAAAAAATTAACGAATTTTAGTGTGTACCTATCCTTGAATTTTCAGAATAGTTTTAAAAAAAATATTTTCTATGAAGGGGGGTTCTTTAAAAAAATCAATGCGGGCACTTATTCCCAATGCGGGCATTTATTGGTCAGACACCAATAAACATGAAATAAACTATAAATAAAATAACATAAGCAATAAGTCAATATTTTTAGTGAGAAGGATGAACCGGATGCTTTAATAATAAATTATCAACATTTGGCGTCAATTTTGTAAGGGTTAATCTTAAATCTCCTCGGCTAATTATGTCCAGTCTGTTTGTTTTATTCGTTAGGAGATTAAATTAAAAATTTCCTCGCTATATTCCATAATACGGGATAAGTAACGGGAATGTTGTTTTGCAGCCAGAAATGCTGATTTCCGTTTTTAAACTGAACCTTAAATTCTTCGTTTGTACTTAGTTCAGTCAGTTCCTCTTGTATTATGACATTCGTTTATTCTATGTCACCATATGGATTAATTATCCACGGTGTTACTACCACAGTCAAAATATCCTCAAACCTAGATTCAAAATCTGAATAGAGAGCATTTAAATGTTGAACGTAGGTTGAAACGTCGTCTTCCTGGCAGCTTGTCTGTGACAAATTGGGGAACTGAGAAAATTCGCCCCGTCCAATATTTTGCTTCATTAGTTTAACTCTGGCAAGGAACGCTCATAAGATGGACTTTGTTTTAATCAAATTTAAACTGTCTCCTTGTAATTGCAAATTAACCATATTAAATTTTGTAAACAAATCTGTTAAATAGGCGATGTCTGTTTTCCTCTTCATTAAATTTTCTTTTAAAATTTTATCTTTAGTATCTAGAAATTCTAAAATAGTCTCAAAAAGTGCAAACAATCTTGTCAAACATAAGCCTTTCGACAGCCAGCGTACTTCAGTGTGAAGGAGTAATTGATGAAAGTGTTCGTCATTTTCTTCACACAACTGTGCAAATAACCGCGTATTCAACGCGTTGTTTCGGATTCGGTTTACTGCATCAATGACTAAATAAAGTGAGTCATGCAATCTAACACTCAAATTTTTAGCAACTAAATGTTGTCGATGGATGACGCAATGTATTGCTAACACCCCTGACACATTTTGTTTTAAATAGCTTATAAATCCACGATAACGTCCAACCATGGCAGGTGCTCCATCTGTTGCTACTGATATTATATTTGATAAAGGAATTGCTTTTTCAATGAAGTAATCCTTCAAAACATGAAATATTGATCCACCTTTAGTGTTGGTTATCAAAGTTCTTGCGAAGAGCAGTTCTTCGTAGATTTCTTGATTCATAATAAAACGAACATATGCCAATAATAATGCTGCATTATCAGGTAAAGTTGACTCGTCCAGTTGTATAGAGAAATGGGTCGTTTGCAAATAATTACATAAGAAGCTTTCAATATCAGAACTCATTTCATCAATACTCTTTCAACAGTATTGTTGCTTAAGGGAATTCTTTTAATGATAGCAGATGCAGGTTTGTGTAAAACAGTTTTTAAAACCTCTTCAATGGCTGGCAAAATTAACTTCTCTCCGATAGTATCCGGTTTTCCGGATTTTGCTATAAGTAACGAGATATTGTAAGACGCCCGCAAACCATCATCATTTCTTTGTGACGTCGAAGCGAACATTCTGTCCAGTGTAGGTCTCTTCTGAAATTTACCTTTGAATGTTTGAAAGTATTTCAAATCTTTCTCTGTTTCATAGCATCATTGCCCAAAACTTTGTTGCATAAAAGGCACATAGGCGATTGTTTGTCAGGCAATGATAGAATGAAACCAAATTTCAAATAATCAACACTGTACTGTCTACATTTCTTTTTAGATTCGGACATGGTATCAGTCATCTGTGGGCAAAATTAAATTATTTAGATAAGACAGAAAATCCAGTAGCTGTATATTAAAAATATTTTTTGATTTTTCCGAAAACATTCCATAATTCGAACATCTTCTTGCAACAATTAGCTCGAATTACGGAGATTGCACTGTAATTATATTACCGATTGCTAAAACTTTCAAAAAGAAACTATTGAGGAGTACCTGTGTAATTTTGCATGATTGAATATTTAACTACTAATAACTAAAGTCATGATTGGCGTAATTTATCTATCTTTGCTAACTACGAGTACAAAACTAAAATTTAATAAAAAATAATGTACATCCTTTTCTCCAGCACTCTCAAACAAAATAACACTGACTCACTATAATTTGTGTGATATACTATCTGTTTATATTTTTTAAAATATTTTCTTAGCACTTTCCTCTTCAAGATTCAGGAAACGAATAAACGTATTTGTCCCACATTCGTATTTATAGAGTGACGAATTGAACAAGTCAGTGCAAGGTAGCGAAGCTCTGAGACTGCGACTCTCACGTTTTTACAAGTTAAAAATGTATTGCGACCACAAAGCGAATACCAACATCCTACAACTTACACAATTTTATAAACATATATAATAAATTTTTCACTTCATAGGTACTTTTATAAATAATGTATATGTTTTGATATTATAAGATAGTATGATGTAAGTAAATAGGTACTATCAGTGTATGTGTTGAGATCCACTATCGTGGACCCCCATATTCATTTCATGGACCCCCAAATTTTTTTTCGTTGACGTAGACCCCTAGGGGTCGATATAGACCACTTTGAGAATCAATGCTCTAGCATTATTACCCTGTATATGGCAGCATTAAAGTAATCTAGAAAATAAATTTTGAAGATTGTTGTTGTTGACAAGAGAATTGTTCACAAAGCCTTCGAACTTGCTCTGCTATGTAATATACTGACAACTTTTTATGTTTGGATTACCTCTACTTACGTGACAGTCCTAGATGAGTCTACTGGTTACAATGTAAGCGTATGACACCCTATATGTTAAGTAACTATTACAGTTTGCTAGTTAATTTTCTTTGTGGAGACGAATGTGTTAGCCACAATACAATGACCTTAAAGTTCGTATCCAAAGACGAAACAACTGTAACGGTTCTGCCGAATCTGAAACTAAGTTTTCGCTGTGGCGCTGTGTCTATTAGGGTCGTAAGGCTTAAGGGCGAGAGTACAAGTTTCTGTTGGTCCATATTGTTGTTAAATATACAGTTATAATGGAGGACTGTGTAGGTGTAAGTTAAACTTGCCATCTCCCTCTGCAGAAAGTGTTGTTTCGTGTGTATTTGCACCTAATCAGAGCATCACAGCACGGGACAACGCTGTCTGCATGTCAATTTCAACCTTGTCTATTTGTGCATATATGCAACGAAATCCACTGCTGGTCTATGCATTTCATCTGAATTATGATATGCATCAGAAAGGCTGTAAAATGGGATTAAATATACTAGCGCCATCTATGACACTGTAACAGAATCAAATACTCTAACTCTTTTCAAAGTATATTTCTGGATTCTTTCATTCGCAAAAATTTGTGTGCTGCCACTGTCTCATAAATGGCGCAAGGCTCTTTCAGATCAGTTTTTGACCGCCGAGATACAGTATAATATGCTTGGCTATTTTGAAATGGAAAACGTTAATCGATGGTTGTAGATATGGGTAACAAAAATGAAAATTATTCATTGACAAGCTTGCAAGTTGAAAGCCATCTTATGAGTAAAATTTTCAAAAATCCTTGTAACAACCAAAACTTGTTTCCTTTGTGAATTCGGATGACGATTCTAGTATCAGTTTTTCGCTGAGATCGAGAAGATCCCATTCGCTGTGTGTGCGATGACAGCGCCGTTTAATAGTGACCATAATTATTCGGGACTCCTATACTGTGTGCAAAAATTGCCTCAATCTAGAATTCTAAATGAACATTAAAATAATATAAGCTGACCTGAAGTTAACTCAAACATACAATTTCTTCAAAGTAGATAGTTAGGTACTCACATTTAATGATGTTTTGTAGAGAATTTTTGCCACAGAGACGTTTGTGTTATTAGCTCTTATTAACTAGCTGTGATGTGCTATCACTAATTTCTTCTCTTTTTGCATAGTGTGAGGTTGGAAGTTCTATGAATTCAAATCCTGTACGTATAATCACATTCAGTGTAAAAGAAGCTTGGTGTGATCAAGGAATATGCAATTAAGTGGACTTTTTTTTTCTTCATTTCTATTTGCTTAATCCAAAGAACATAATAAGAATTTCACAAATGTCAGTGGTGCACATTTTTTTGTCACAAATATTCGTTCAGATCCCGCTCCAGACTCCACTGGACCTAATTTAATCAAGTTAGGGCTAGACTAGCTCCTTAATGTTATAAATACCACCACCAAATTACAACAAAATTAGGTAAAGCATATTTTAGATATTTTCGAGAAACCATTTTTTCTTTTTAATTTTAGTATTAAGAATTTGTGAGCCTATGTTTATATGAACTTTTTGTCTTAAAATTACCCAAAGAATCATCTGTTCAAATTATAGTACATACTTAATTAACACCCTCATATATCAATTTTTAATTTTAGAAATGTTTACATCTCTCTACGTGTTGTAAACATGAATGCTGGCGCAGATTAGAGAGACGTTCACATTTATATATTGTACCTTATTTTATACTTACCACGTCAACATCTCCCCGGCTTCATTGAAAGCCCCCTTATAAAATATATAAACTAAATCAAGTGTATCGTCGTATTATCTACACGTTGAAGGTAAAGCACTAACCTGTACACTGGCACATATTGTAAATTTACTTGTAGAAACAAAGCCGAGACGCTTCTATTGTTATGTTTCGTAGTCGTCCCCAAAGCAAACTTTCCTTTTAATGCCCTTACATTTGAGGCCCTAACTTTCACGATGAAAATGAGGAAAATTCATTTGTTTCGTGTATACACAGAGCCGTAAGTGTCGGAGAAATTACATTAACAATTTCCATGGCCGCCGAAAAACTTGTTTCGGGTTTAAAAGTTTAAATTTGTTTTCGGATCCCACCTTCGGCCGCGAATGGGCCCAAGGGCCGCCGTCGCGAGTTTTATCCGTTCTGGGTTATTTGAATAATGAAATCTTTTCCTTTTGGTACAGTCAGTAAGGGATAAATTACAATGAAATATTGGAATGGGGCTGAAACAATGTGATAATACTGAATAACTACTCCCTCTATATTCGTCATCGTCTGCCAGAGCGATCCTGCTTAAAGTGCATAGGTCAGTAGGTCTGTCAGGTCTGCTTGCCCAGAGATCAGACAAAGTCAGACTGCAGGAAGGAAAGAAGAAGGAAACTAATGTAAAGGGCAAAGAGGAGAAAGTGGTCAGTGGAAAGAATCTCACAACATTGGACTTAGAAAAATGTTAATTTGGCCCCAAAATCAATTTTAGTTTCGTTGTTATGAAGTATTCGCTCATCGTTCAACGCGTATGCGTTAAGCGTTTCCATATTTTGGGAGCATAATTACCTATCTGTGCCCCTATTCTTGACTTTAATAGAAAATCACACTCCCTCTCTTTTTCTACTATAATACTGTATTCTTGAAAGGACGCGATAGAAAGGAGAAAGGAAAGGACAAAATGATTGAATTTCTACGAGAGCACCCCCAAATGCACCAGGGAAAATTCAATCATAGCTTAAAGAATACTGCTCTGGAATGACCAAAACTTAGTATCTACTCTTGCCTTTGTTTTGATCGAAAGTGCAGAAGCTCGTGGAGATAGTTGTATGAATGGAGTCAATATCTCCAGCAATCCATACACCAAATCTTTGGACAACCTAAACATCTACAAATTTTCAATCCTTATGAAAGGATCTCGGTGCCCAAGAATATATATCCCAACCTCGCATTCCTCAACTGCCTCCTCTACATCCTCGTTAATAATATCGTTTCAATACATCAATTGATTGAAATTAGCATATTGCAATATGTTTGGCAGGAACGACAATAACAATGCCAAAAACGTCAATTTTTATTGTATATAGCGCTATTTTCTGTTAATTTTTCTCAAACTGAATTCATTTCTATCACTTTTCGGTAGAATTGATTTCAAGAATACTGCGTTTCTTGGCCACGCTCACTTTTTGCCACTTTCTCTCTCCATTTCTACTCCCTCAAACTCAAGAATAGAGGTTCTGGTGGACCTTAGGGAAAGAAACAACGTTTCATGTATTTTTTAGCATTCTGTTTAATTTTTTATTATCGTGTGCCAAGCAAAAATTTTAACTTCTATAGCGCCGAAACAAACACGGGATCTCAATTGGGCTACTATTCCTCATTAGAGCGGGTGTAGAACAGTAAAACAATATAATAGCGCGAGGAAGGCATTAATGCAACTTGAATAGTGTGCTTTAATTTTGTTTTCAAGTTCGGGTATCATTCAAAAGTGGCAATGTTTGTAGTTTGAGCAATTTAAGTAGAACATACATGTACCTCAAAATTAAAATTTCGCAACAATTTGACATATTTTTTCTATGAAAGCATTATTAAATTAATTGGTTACCTTATTCAAAAAAGTAAATTACGCTTAGAAGCAGCAGTGACGTAGTTGTAGACGTTATGGGTCTCCTAATCAGTCGCCTTACGCTGCGCGGGTTCGATTGCGGTCCCAAGAGAATTTTTTTCTTGGCGATGGATGTTGTGATTATTCGTAGGTGGTAGACGGTGTCTGACTGTCGAACGCGGAGATCCCACATGGTAAATCTCTAAGGCGGGGCCAGAATATGTGAATGTTGCATGCACACGTGTTCCTTCGCTAGCGTCCATGTGGCGCCCCCCTTTCCCCTGTAGTACCATATAGCCCCACGCTAC